AGTCTGAAGATGCTCAGAAGATGTCTGAAGATGCTCAGAAGATGTCTGAAGATGCTCACAAGTCTGGAGACATTGAGAGCTGGCTTCCTGAAAATTATATTAACCGTAATTGCGGAAAAATAAAGATTATCTCATGGGTGGATCAAGTTGCGGTGTTGAAGCATAAGGCCGTTAGAGTATTCCTGTCACACTCAGGATGGAATGGAACCTTGGAGGCAATGTCATCATTTGAGGGCCCAATTGTGTGTTTGCCGCTAGGTGCGGAACAGGCGATGAATGCGAAGATTCAAGAAGAATATTTCAAGAACGGATTGAGGGTATGGCAGAATGGAAGAACCTGCTCATTGAAGGATACGAGTATTAGGGAAGTCTTAAGAAAAGCTTACAATTGCTTTTGTGACTACTCTAAGGTATCCTGCGGACTAAATCTTGTCTCACAGTTTGCCTTCAAGAACACCAGCAAATGTAACCTTCTACATTTCATTGGATCGATACCAAAATAGGCGACCAGTGGTATCCAATGGATTGCCGTACAAGAGCCGGATAGTTAGTTAGTACATTAACAATGACCGTGAAAAAGTTTCGAACACAATGTTTCTATATTCTGGGGTGGATTGAATACTTATTAGGGCGGGTAATTATCCCGTCATGATGGTCGGGTTAGGATGTGAAAAATGAAATGTTTAGCATATTTTGACGGTTCTATTTTCGTTGTCATAGTATCCTTTGAGCTTGCACTGCGACTTGGCTAGCTTATAGTCGAGCAGCTTTAAGAGTCGCGCTTTGTTTGAGTCCAGTGTTTCCCCAGCCGCGCAAATCACAAAGTCTGTCAACACAACAATGGTCCCGTTGTCCAATACGGTCGGAACCCCCAGCTTCCTGAACAAGGGCTCCATGTTGAACTGAAACTGACTCAGCGAGTCCTTTCCCTCCGGGATTACCACGGTTTCTTCCACGACGTCACCGGCCTTAGCGTATGTATCCATTCTCTCGCCAAGGAATAAAGAACTCAATTCTTCCGGAGACTTGCCACAACACACTACACAGGGGTCGCGACCCTCTATCAACTACAAAAACATTCACCACAATGACCACAAGCATCGACATTTATCAGGCAACAACCAGGCAGGCCACAACAACCAGGTCACAACGACCAGGCCACAACAACCAGGTCACAACGACCAGGTCACAACGACCAGGCCGCAACGACCAGGTCACAACGACCAGGTCACAACGACCAGGTCACAGGTGACAACAGAAGCCAAAATGACCAGGAGGCAATGCAAACCCAAAGTGACAAAAACTTACGCCGCTCAACTTATATATATTTTCTGCTGCTGATGTTGCTGCCGTGACTCCAAGTGCCACTTGCATGATGCGACTCCGTGCCATGAACATGGTGCCCGGCTTGAGGCTTTCCCGCACCCGCTGAATTTGCTCCGTTTTGAAGTGAGACATTTCAACCACATACGTAAACCTGTTCTGGGCAACAGCCGCCCGTATCTTGTCTGCTATCTCCAGCTTCCGGTCCATTCCCACCTTCTTCCCCACCTTGGTCAAAGGAACCACCTTTGCCTTCCGCGACCTGGCCATCTCTGAAAAAATATAAATCGCCCCGGTCCGGCCTCTGACAAGGAGTTGCACAGTGGACAAAGAAGCTGGCTACCGGAGAAAGCAGTTATTTGAAGGCGCAGACCAGAAGAAAGTCATCTTGGTGGCGGCAGCAGTAATACTGACATCCAATCGTTGTGTGCTGAGCCTGAATTTGGTTGCCGATTTCACACAGTTCGGAGGTGCACACATCGTTTTTGGCGGCCAGCCAGTTAGGGTCTTTAGACTTCACAACTAGGTCGCAAATCGTCAGACTGGGGGCCAAGAGAGTAGCCGGCACCTGTTTTAGCGAGTCCACCTCCACGTGTTGTTTGTGATACAAAGCACTCATCAACGCATCGCCTATCGCACTAGAACGTTCTTCCAGAGCCACGTCCCGTGTCACAGAGCTCTCGTACCCCCGGATGTACCTCCTGTAGTCATTTATGTCTGCGAGCAGGGACTCCTTTGTTGAGCCGCAGATCCATGGTACTATCAGGTTCATTTCCAACCTACTGGCCTTTGATTAGGTCCGGGTTGACTAAGCGAGCGGCGGGCGGGTGGGTATAAAAAGGGTTTTCCAAAAGTCCATGGTTGAGACTAAGGTTGAGCCCAAGGTCAATCAGTCACGCCGTGAGCTACTGGAGTGGTTGCAGCAAGACTTTAAATGCGGGATTTGCCGTATTGAGGAGTGCGGAAATGGCTCGATCTATTTGCAGATTTTGGACCGACTATACCCGGGGACCGTGCCCATGCACAAAATCAACTGGAGTGCCACGGCAGAGTACGAAGTCATCAAGCACTACAAGATCCTTCAGGACGTCCTAAAGGGCATCGGTCTGTCCCGAGGCTTCGACATTGACGGCTTGGCTCGAGGTAAATACCAGGACAACTTGGAGTTTCTGCAGTGGCTTCGAGCAGTTTATGACAAGAAGCTGCCCAAGTCACCCCCCGAATACGATCCAGAAGCCAGACGCAAGCTCAGCTCCCATCCCCTACCAGCGTGGATAAAGCAAAAAAACAAATCATCTGCTGCTTCGACTGTCGCCAGCCGAAAACTCGTCAAAAAAGAACCTTCCGCACTTCCTCCGGTCGACCCAGTGTTCCCCCATCACCATCTCACGTCGCACCTTCCCCCTCACGTCAATACGCAGCAGTATGCTCTTTACGAAAGTAAGCCCGCATATTCTCGCCAACGTTTATTCAAACATTTATTCTGCCCAAACACTTTGCCAATGCAAATCTTGGGCAAAGTCCCAAGCAACATCCCCACACACCTGCCCCCTCTGTGGAATGCATCATGGGCGCCGTTCGCATTAGATAAGCTTAAAGCGATTTCCGCTGTTTGTCAAGCGACAGATGACAGTCAGTTTGTTGACAAAGCTATTCTGGAATACATCTTGTAAGCTGCCCTACTTTCTACTTACTGAACCGCGCTGTTTTCAGGAACACCAAAGACATCATTGACTTGCACATAGCTAGCTAGACCACGCCGGTTCCGTAGCTCAGTAGGCAGAGCGTGTGGCTGTTAACCACAAAGTCGCAGGTTCGATCCCTGCCGGTACCGAGTTTCTTCTGAGCTAGCTATGCGGACGCTCCGGTATAATCTGAGTTCGGCGGTGGATATGTAGAATATGACACGCTAGGATTGTTATTCCACGAGCGCTACTCCTCGCACCAACCACATCATGACGGCAGGTGTGAAAGGACATTTATTGGCAGTAATTCGCGTACTGCAGTTTTCTCGGCCTGGTGTTTGTCTTTGATCCCAAGGTACCGAATTGTGAATGGTTGGATGAACAAACGCTTTCCTACGACGTATGAGGGAACTTGTTTCGGAAGAGAATCAACGCGTATGGATTAATGGAAGGGGAAGGCGTGGACAAGACGAGACCTAACGAAATTGATGAATCTTTCTTTTGGATTTCGGGGCTGCACTCTGAAGTTTTGTTCTTCATGCTGTGTTCTGAGCCAGTATTCTGAGCTGCTTTCTGCTCAGACTATTCCGTAACAAAAAACACTTTAGTACCCGGCTGTTTATGGGCGCACCGTTTAATGCCTCAACACACAAGTCTATTAGATCCGAAATTGAGGCTTCTGTAGCAAGCACCCCGACATACAAGCGCGGGCTCGACCATATTTGACAAATCTTCGCATGGTCCCAGCAATGGCGCTCCGAACACGCCCACCAGACCCGATAAAGGCATCACGCACATGCTTCCAGGACAATATTCGGAACAACTCGGATTTCTTTTTGGGCCGGAATTCATCAGTGGAGTTTACTGCCATATTCTTCTAACGCATATTTCGGACAGCTTACAAGTCGGCAGCGCATAACCGTTAAGCTCAACATGCGACGCTCCACATCTCGAGCGGGCCACCAAATGTATCTTTTTGGCACGCCGATTGTCTGGCCACAAACAAGCGTCAACGCAGAAGATGGATGAAAGCTTATGTACAAGTGCTGTGTTAATGGATGCAACCAGAAGTCATCGACACATCGCGCAGGCTCATCCAAGGCTTGTACCAATGCGCCCTGGGAGTTGTGCTCAGAACTCGGTGGGGAGCCTGGTCAGCTTCTGTGAGTCGTCAGGGCTTACGACGGGACCCGTCGGTCGCCTTTCCTGGGGCTTTAGTTATTTTTATGTTCCGTAATTCTTCCCGCCACTGGGGAAGAACTCCGGCGTAGGTTTGTTGGGCTCTCCGCCACTGGGAGATCTCTTTGGGTTGGCAGCATTTTCTGGAGTCCTGGTTTCAACCCTTAAAAACGTCTCTCCCTAGTGATGCGCTGCAAACGCGCGCGCGTTGTCCCAAATATGCCCAACGTCTTTTATGTCCCAAGACGTTCGAACTGGGACTAACTCAGACGAGAACCAGCACTAGCGATCCTCCCATTTCCGGACAATCCTCGGCGGTACCTTCTTTACGCGAGGTTCTGGTCTCGCGGCCTTTGAGGAACGAGGGAATTATTTATCCCTCTCGGGACAGCTCCTCCCCATTCTCCTGTTCCTTAAGCTGGTCCAACCGGCGGAGTTGCCGGCGTCGGTCGTACCGATATAGCAGATCCTCGTACCACATGGGCTTGAGGGTTGCGGTAGCGTGAGCCACCTCTAACACCCGGTGAGGTGCGGCAAATCGGGGGCGAAGATTGGTCAACCCTGAGCGGTGTTCATACGCCCGAGCCTCCAAAGCGATCAGCGGGAACGTGACTATCTCCCCTGGTTGAACCGCGGTGGCTTGTCGTGGTACGCTCAGCTGCCTTAAAGCCTCCAATGATAACCTCACTTGGATCATCACTGAGATTGCTTATTCTTGCTTCCTCGTTCGTGGGGTCGAATTCCGCCCATCCTACCATCGGTGGTTCTCGGCCAATCGCGGCGCACATGGGGCTGCAACCCAATGCCTCATGCGGGGTGGCATTGTGGGCGTACACCGCCGC